CACCTTGCTTCTTCCTCGTATAAACCATCGTCTGATCCGAAAACCGTACAGGTTTGAAAAAAGACGTCCTAACCGATATTCGAAAGGATTCATTACCGCAATGGAAATTTACCCAATACAACGGTGACCTGCTCCAGTTGCACGAATGGATTGAGCAGTGTAGAAGTGTTGTGGACTCACAAAACTTGTCCGATGATGTTAAATTAAAACGCCTGAAAACTTTGGTCATCGGTAAAGTAAAGTCTGCTTCAGCGCATTTTGCATATAGCGGTGCAATGTACAAGGATGCTCTGGTGAAACTTGAGCGAAACGTAACTACTCGTCCGTGCATATCTGGATAAAGTCAACAATACACCGCCCGTTAAGAGTCTTGGACGCTCCACACCGTTAAGCGCGGTCTACAAGCTCAATCTTTAGTAGACTTGAACGATTGGCTTGAAGACAAAGCCGAAGCACATGAGGACATGCGTCCCTCTCCTAAGCCGGAAGATAACTCTTCACGAACAAAGACACCCGTTAAAGTTTTTTCCGCGAATCCTCAAGCTAAATCGAGCTAAATCCTCAGTATAGTCCCTGTTTGCAATGTAAAGTCAAGCATGTACTTTGGAAACGTATCGTCTTAAAAAAAAACCAATTCAACGCGCAAGCTTTGTTTTTCTTGCTTTCAAGGAAATCACGTGTTTAAGAAATGCCCTAAACCGAAAACATGTCCCAAATACGAATGCAAGAGCACACACAATGAATTATTGCATGGAGCTGAGCGCCTTCCAGTCAGTTTTCCACAAAATAACTCATCTGGCAGTGCTCTCCTCATAACTGTGTATACTCCTGAAGTTAAAACAGAATCAAAGGCGTGTGTTGCTTATAATTGTGCATCCAGTACTTATGAAACTAATGCACTCATGTTTCTGGCGCAGCCTGCAGCCGTCCTTGTTTTTCATTCGATTGCGCCCGTATACTTAACCGAACAAATTACAAAATTAAATTAACTGTTAGTGAAATCAATTTCAACGAGATTATTGCCTCTGAACAAGTTGACTTAACAGTCACATCTGAATTTAATCCAGAAATTTTTTTCTCTGTTTGCACTTATGTCAAATATGATACAAATATAGGTTCAGACATAATCAAGGTTTCAAAGTTGCAAGAGAAGTATCCTCACTTGGAAGCTGTTAATCCCGCCACATACTGATATGCGGTTGTAGAAATGATATTAGGACAAGATGTTTATGAGTTTATCCGTCCCCATGAGTACTGCCAGGATAAAAATCATTAAGCTCCTTTCACCTTTCGTCTTCTTATTGGGTGGGTCTTAACAGATCCTCTTCTTTCCTGCAGGGGTCTATACTCCACATGCTTCAAATGCAATATCGAGGATGAAAGCTTACTAGAGCAGGTCAAATCCTGGTATGAACTTAAATCATACGGTGCGTACAAACAAGTAGACGCTAGGTCCTCAACTGAAGAGAGGGCGAATCAAACTCTGGAGTCAACTATTATACACGATGGTCATAGATACTCTGTCGGCATGCTCTGAGTTGAAGACAGACCAATTTTTTTTTTTCAGCATTGCCTCACTTAAAGTCTTCGAAAAACGTTCAGACAAAGACGAAATAGTTAGAGAGTCAAACGCAAAAACAATTTGTCGTGACGTTTATGTCAAAGGGTATGTAATCAAAGTTAATGCCCACGAACCCAGTGGTAACCGATGTGACAACCTACCAGTACACCCGACATAACTTCAGAGCTCGGGATTGTGCCACATGTGCTAATTTAGCACTTAATAAAACCGCACGTGACAATCAAACCTTTTTTCCAGAAGCAGTTTCTGCAGTGATTCAAAGCTTCTATATGGACGACTAGCTTGAGTCGCTCATAGAACCTGAAGAAGCTTTGAAATTAAGTAAAAACTTTTTTACAATTTCTTGAATTGGGAGGTTTCAGTTTGACAAAGTTTGTAAGCGATATAATTATTATACAAAATGAGTTGAGTGCGTCAAGCGGCGAATGAGGTCAAAAAAACTTTAGACAGTGAAGATGAAGCATCACATTTTTTTTAATGGGACCACATATATGACACATTAGTTATCAGCCGAGGTGTAAATTAAGAATTGAAAAACAGTGTTACACAGCGCACTGTCCTATCTTTTTTCTCCTCAGTGTTCGACCCCATTGTGTTAGTCGCTCCATACACTGTGAGATCACGTCTTCTCTTGGAAGATATTTGGAGAATCAGTGGTCAACAATGGGATGATTCCCCTCCAGAAAACTTGACTGAAATTTTCTTCGAATGGCATTCCGGCCTACCGATCTTAGGTCAGCTTACAATTTCTAGCTGTTATTTTGTGTATGCAGTTGAAAAAATTGAATTTTAATTGTCTGGCGGTAGTTCGCAAGAGATTTTCTGTGCAGTTGGATTTCTTCGTGCGCGCTTTATCGAAACTCAAGAGAGCAAACTCTTGCTCGCGAGGAGCAACAAACTATTGATTGCGAAAACGCGAGTAGCATTAATGAAGGCCACGTCTATCCCTAAACTAGAATTGCCAGCTGCCTTATTCACCACCCGCCTCAAAGAGGATATGATTAAAGCACTTAACATCCCGATAAACGATGTCTTCATATGGACAGACAGCACCACCAAGCTCCAGTGACTCCATTCGTCATCAAAGCAACCAGTTTTTGTCGCAAACTGAGCAGGCGAAATTCTTGAAGTCACCACCGTAGACGAGTGCTATCATGCCGACACCGGAAACAATCCTGCAGACATGGGCACCCGAGGTATTGTCACAGAAGCTATAAAAGACAGCAGCTGGACCCAAAGTCCAAGCTTCCTATGAACCTCTGTCCGCATGTTGAGGTTGTCACCAAAATAAGACTCAAAGGTCCCGTTGACGATGTTATTGATACCACATTAAACTTCGTCGCAAATCCGTCACCAACTGAGCCCGTCATCAATTGGCCTCGATGCAGCTCTTTTGTTACGCTGTTACGCATCTTAGCATTGATCCTCAGATTAAATTCTAAGTTCCGTCATTACCGTGAAGCAGCTCGAAAATGCAAAAAATAAATTTTTACTTCTCTCACAAACAGTAGCATTCGCGATAGAATTGAAATTACTAAATTATGAGAACCTGTAAATAACTTAAGTCCTATTGCAACACAGAACAAATTCGAATTCAGAACAAAACATCCCATCATACTTGATGGTCATCAACCGTTAGTGAAATTATTTGTAAATCATCTGCACCGTAAACATGAGCATCAATCTATGGACTATCTACGTTCCGGCATCCAGTTGGATTATGCCATTGTAAAATTAGGATCTCTACTTTGCAGCATTGAACTTAATTGCATGATTTGTCGTGAGCGGAAGGTAAAAACCGTTATACCGTTAAAGTCTGAACAGCCAGTCGAGCGTTTAAAATACCGCCAGTTGCCGTTCAAATACTGCGGTGTAGACCGCTTTGGACCCTTCTATGTAACGATTCGCCAGATTTCCGAGAAACTTTTGGCATTTCCCCCCTTGTTTGACCACAAGAGCCATCCACATATAAGTTATTCCTTCAACGGATGCTAGCTTTTGCGTAATGGGAGTAGCAAGGTTGATCACTAGGCGTGAAACCCCAGCAACTATTTGGTCTGACAATGGAACGAACTCTGTCGGCGCAGAGAAAGAGCTTCTTCTGTGTAATCGAGCGTGGAATGACCTCGCACCCGTCTTCCATGTATATAAAGGTAATAAATGGAAATACAACCCTCCCCTCCATCAGCTCCACTCAATGGTGGCTCGTGGAAACGGCTTGTACGTAGTTGCATGAGAGTGTTCTACTCGATACTCACACCTCGCAAAGAGACTGATGAAATTCTTTAGACATATTTTTGACATGTTGAACCGTCTTTGAGTGCACGTCATCTTACACCTGTTAGCAGCGACCCAAATGAACCTGAGGCACTTATGCCAAACCATTTGTTATTTGGACAGTATTCTGTGAGTTTTCCTTCAGTAGCAAAAACCGCAAGCGCTACCTCCGCCCAAATTTAAAACTGGAGCTATGAATGCAGTAAAAGCAAAGCCAAATAAGAACACTTGGCCGAGCGGTCTAAGCTGAGTCCAAATCTGGTTCGTGCCCCCCTAGGTTCGAGTCATTATTCCCCGCCCCCCAAAGCCATATGGCCTTTCAGTTGTAAACAGGGAAAGGGTTCGGTTACCTCATTTTACTATTTTTACGTATTAGTTATCTAATAGTTATGCAAAAATTACGTAATAAAAACTTAATGGTGTAAAATTTACGAAAGCTCGTATACCGAGCTCGTCTGAACATAAAACGTGAAATAAATCGATTTCGACCTTGTCTGACCTCGAAAAAAAACAGGTTTTTGGCTGCTAAGTTTTGTGTTTGCTGTCAACTATTGCTGCTAAAATTATGTACGATTACTGTTGCTTATATGCTCTGTAAACTTATATGCTCTGTTCTTATTTTATGGTTTTGTTACGACACATAATCACGCAGTTTTCGTTGTTTTTCCAATAAATTGGATTGAAAGTAATTTATTCAACCCGGTGTTTTCATACTATACCTGAGAGCATTTGTTAGTCAACCGATCTATGATCCGATCTACCCCCCTACAGACCCGATCAACCGGACAGACCCGTAGTAGTAGAAACATCCTAAGACAAAAGGATTTCTAACTGTTTTTTAAAGCTAACTGAATCAACAAAGTGCATTGAATTTAGCAGCCAGAATTACAACTTAATTTTAAGACATTATTTTTATGATTAAGTAATTTGGTTCACTGATCTGATAATTTACTGAAACTTTGATCTATTGAATGCACCTTTTAAATTTTTAGTTTGAAACTGGAACCGAAGCCGCACCTGATATAGTTCCAAATAAAGGCTGCTCATTTGCTATTTAAGTTAGGAGTTAATTGAACTCTTAATGTCATATTTTAAAGTTTGGACTATCCTCAATACTTGATTAACCTGTAGTTTGAATAACACTCAAAAAGTAAACAAAGCCGTGACAACTGGTTGCAATTCATTTAGTTTAAGCTCCGCTCAAACCAGAAACAGTCCTCTAATTTTAAGAAAAAATATTCATCAAACTTATTATTATGAGCTTGAAACTAGCCGTTTGCACTATTCTGGCTCTGCATGTGGCCACGTCTTTGGCTGGTGTACTGAAACTGACCAAAACCAGCTTGAATGAAGATGACCCGTGTCCGCACTACTCTCCGATGGGTAACTTCAACTTGAGTGCGTTCCTGGGAGTCTGGCATGAGATCGAGAGATACCCCAATGACATTGAGAAGCAGGACTACTGTGTCGTCACCCAATACCACATCATTGGGCCTGATGTCTTAGGTGATACTCTACAATTTATGTTTATGTTCAAACATTTAATATACTTCCAGTAGCTTCGGAAAAAGTATGCGTAAAGTTGTACGAATGATTTCAATTTTATAGTGTGGAAAAATCATTCTGTGAAAAAACATTTTTGTGCTAAAAGTTATTTTTAAGAATTCTGTTACGTTGATCATTTTTAGACCATAAAAAATATTTCAATTTGCCTTTTTAAATTGGACAAACTATTTTAAAAAACAGCCAATGTTTTGTGTAGAAAAAAAAGCCAGTTATCATTTTTGAGGCTTTTTTGATATTCTAAACAGTTATATTTTAAAAATTTGCATGGGAATGATTATGAGGACATGGGAACACTTTCACTTGTTATATTGGATACATCCCTGATCTGACTTCTAATAAATCAGTATATATGATATCAGCCATGGAATGAGGACACTTGGCATGTCGTCCTCTCAGACAGATTATAGCACTTAAACAGTCAAGTCAAGACATATCGACGCCCTCATCCTTCATATATTGCCCCGCTATATTACCCTCCTTACGATCCAATATGATAGAATTATTTGAGCTTTTTATATATCTAAATCTTCTGTTAAACTCAAAATCTGTTGAGCTTTTTTATTCATCGAAACCTCTTTTCTCTCTATAAACCAGCATAATTTTTATGTTTTCATTTTCTTAAGCTTTTCATCAATACGACTGCAGTAATAATATGCCTGGATTAAAAGTTGACCCTTTTTGACCTTTTCTTGTTTCAGGCACCCGCCTAAGTGTGAACATGACCTTCACCAGAGACGGACAGCCTCTGGCGGGGGAGCTGATCGGCACTTACCTCAATGGGGACACCACTGCTGAATTCGTGATTGAGCCCGCCCTGAACCCGAACATAGTGTTCATCGATACCGACTACACAAGTTATGCCCTGCAGTATAGCTGCGAGAACAAAGAGTCAAAGGGAAAAGTGGAGAGCGCCTTCATATTCTGTAAGTATTTTGTTCGTGTGGAATATGGCTCAATGATTGGTTCTTTCAAATGATACTCGCAAAAATAACGTTTAATGGCAATTAAGAAAACAAATGTACTGAATGAAAAAATTTTAAAGACTCTCTTTCGAGCAAGTTCTTACAGCAATTTCTTAACAAATAATAAAACCTAAGAACGACAAATAAGTTCTATATTTTTTTATTGTTTTTGGTTACAAGATTGCATAGAACCGCGATTATATTTTCTCGTTTGGTTAAAAAGTCTATCAAGAGTTTTCGGTTTAGCGAGGACCGAAACCCTTCCTGCAGACACGATCACTCAACTGAAGCAACAATTCACCGCATTGGGATCGGATATCTCTCAGTTCGAGGAGCCAGAACACATTAACTGCCCAGTACCCACGGCAAAATAAACTCAATAACTTATTATTAATAGTTAGATATTTACTCGATAGTTTCATGACATCTATTTAATTCTGATCAGAGATTGTTAATTGTCATCCAAGACTTTTGCCATTTTACAATGTATTATCGGAGTAGCTTAAAATTGTTGTTACGACCATTGAAAATGGGAGCAACTTTGTCTTCGAGCAGGGGCGGATTTAGATGGGGAGGGGAGACGCCTTTTCTCTCAGGGATTCGACCCCCTACCGACCCAAAGTGTCCCCCTTTTGTACTATTTTGAGATATTCACATTTGGTGACCGAACCTAAAAATTTTCCAAAGCCGCCAATATATACTAATTTTGAGGGGGGAGCGCGCGCCAAAAAAAACGCAATTTTTGGTCAAAATTTTCCGAAAAGTGCATAAAAACGTCTTTTTTGGCCTATTTTTTTCAAATTTTGCCTGCGGCGCAAAAATTTTGGCCAAAACAGAGTCTTTTCAATGATTTGGGAGAGCTCAAAAAATCAATTTGGTCGACCTAAAAAAGGTCGACAAAATGTTTTTTAAAATCCCCCCCTCGAGAAAGTCCTAGATCCGCCCCTGTCTTCGGGTGTGTTTCAGTATTTAGTTTCAAATAATCATCTGAATGGGATGAGTGATATATGATACTAAAGCCCTTTTAGTCGTGATCCGAACGACATTAAGAATTATCTTAGAAAAAAATTCCAATGTTGAGAAAAACCCATTTTAAAATTTTGAGTCTTTGTCTAAATTCTAGCGAGTAAGCCTTTAAAGACCTACTCGCTCAAAATTCGAATGTAAACTGTTTGCTTAAGCAGAAAAAAGTTTTATCGATTTTACTCCCGCAAAACTAGTTTTGGAAGCTTTTAAAAGTTCAAAATATATATATATATATATATTTTCGAAGAGTACTGTTAACAATTATGCCTTATTCACTAAGTCACTTCGCGTTCTTATAGTTCTGCCATCACACACCACGCCCAAAAAACGACAAAATTGTTGAAAAAAAATAAAACAACAACAGTTTTTTGTATTATTTTTCGTTCTTTTTGAATGTGGTCGGAACATTATGTGCTACTTTCATGGCACCCAGGATATTTGGATTTCTATTTTAACAAGAGAGAATGTTTCCGTTACGTAAATGTGAGTTTGTAATCACTAATTCGACATCAAGCGCCACTCGTTAAATTGTTTTAATTAAAATTTGCTCAAAAAAGACTAAGTTGCGGCTTTACATTAATGAAGCTCCAAAACCTAACGACTCTAAAACGATAAACTAATTATTTTAATTGTAAGTGCATTTATAACTTAAGATTTCATGCAGGGTTCCGCCTTCTACATGACTGTTGTTCAAATATTAATTAGGGAGGTACTTCTCACTGAGCTTTCTACTATTAAAAACTAAGTAGATCTAAGCTAGATAGACGATTTTTTGTCGCTGATCAGCAAATTAATGATGTCGGACCTCGAAGCACCGACATTCAATAGAGATGCGCAGGCGTAGCCACTTCACCATCAACCCCCTTCATTGCAGGAATGGCTGTGCCTTTTGTTTTTCTCATCCCCTCTCCCCTCAAATTTCACATGTTTTGTTTAGATAGCTGTTTTTTCGATTATATTGTCAATTTTTCAACCAAAAGTTTTTTTTAATTGGTTTTAAAAAGCAGTCGGATCATTCATGGCTTCGCAATGATATACGAGCAGTCTTGTTTTCAGTTTGTGATGCTTTCAAATGGGCAGGCATGAATTTTCGATATACGTTTTTTTAGTGGAAAATTTTTAATGCATCTATCTATCTCTGAACAATTGAGTTGATTTGGAGAAAAACTACTTTGCACTGCTCAGTTAACTAAAATACCAACTTACATTCAAATTAACACTCTCTTTTGTAAGCCAATCTTAAGGAGAGAGAGAAAGTATTAACAAGATTATACAAAAAATTTTAAATAAGAGTTAAAACGAGCTCAACAAAGACTTAACAGAAAATGCTCCGTCGCGCAATAACGGTGAAGAAAACTTCTATTTAGCAATTTTGACTCGGCGCTTCTCTGCCAATACGTGAATTTACAAATCAATCTTTATCAAGCATTAGTCTTCATTTTCTTAACATTTTGATTGCTACACACTCTTATGTCCTCAGATGTAATTAATTACTCAAACTTCATTATCTTCAGTTCGAAACTTTTTTAATAACTATTTTGAAAACCAGAAAAGACTGGAGATCCAAGCTGAAAACTTAAAACCATTTTCATTTTTAATTGCCACTTTTGTGTTCCAAGCAGTAGTAAAACAATACAAGACTGATTGTATATCAAGGCAAAGCTTTAAATGTTCCCACTGCACTTTAAGGTCAATTAGAAAGTTTTTGCTCGAAAATAAGATGAAATAATTGAAAAGATTCAACGTTTTTTTTTCTTTTTTTTTCCTTTTATCACCCACACTTTTTTATAATGTAAAAAGGTATGCCCCTGGCTTGAGTGGTCAATATTTTAGCAAATGAGACCAAATAATTTGCCTCATTTCAGTTTGCAACGATTTAATCCGATGTTTAGGCGTGTTATAAGAACGCAATAGATCTGGCGTTAATTAAATCAATGGACCAAATTGGTAAAATCATACTATCATAACTTTATGAAAAAAGATAACTGGTAGAATTTCTTTTTAATTTTGAGCCCAGAAAAGCAATATTGTTTGGATGTTTTTTGTTTATGAGGTCAAAAATGCTCATTTGAAAAGTCGAATATTGATTGAATAAAAAAAACCACCCAAGCATGCAAGTTACCCAAATTTCTTCAAATATCGAAAAAAAAGTAACAAAATTAAACAATTCTCAAATTTTTTTTCTAATGCAGCATGTCAAGGCTCTTTTCTACTTTGAATTTTGAAATTTCATTTGCAGTTACAATGCAATGAAGGTCCGCTTGGTGAACAAACTTACCATTGTGAAAAATTTTGCTTTTCATATTCATTGTAACGTCACGCATTGAACCAAGCAATCAGAGTATTTGAAAATTCACCGCAAAAACGGAAAACAGTCAAAAGAAAGTTGACTGCATAAGCCTGTTTTAGTGAACTCCCCAATCTGTTAGAGTAATCCCCATACGATTCATACTAGTCAAAAAGTTTGCGGATTCCGCGCTAGTCCCGCTAGTCTCGCAGTCTCGTACCCTGGTCCTCATACTATTGGCTGTTCATGCCTGGTGAATGAGTATAAAGAGCAAAGCTCCAACGATACAGGTAAAATACTGATATTCCTGACGCAAGCATTTCGCCTAATTGAGTTTTGATTTTAAAGTAATGCACCTAATTTTCGGACGTCATAACAATTGAGGCACTGTTTAAATTACATGATTCAGGTTTTGTAGTCGATATAAGTGACACTTACCATGCAGAAATATCAATTGATTTTCCGGCCCTGATGAAATATTATATCTGCTAGAACCCACCATGACGTTTATGATATTTTATATAGATTATTTGGTCTCCTGATAAACAAGACGGCTCTGCTTTTTCTTTTTCCCAAATCTATTCAAAAAAACGTTTGTTCGCTTTCTCCCATTGTTATAGAAATTGAAATGCGGACTAATTGAGTAATGACATATACAGTGCCGATTTAAATTATCCGAACCTGTAAAACTTGAAAATTAAAATAAAGGGCAAATTGGTTGAAATTCGGGCCCAAATTTGTACCCCAAAAGTTACCGAGACATTTATATCAAAGTGAGCCTCTTACGCAGCTCAAGGATAGAATCTCTAAACAATTTAGGCAAATTGTTTTTTAAAAATTTAATAGTGGATTTCAAGGCTCTTTTCCACTCTGAATTTTGAAGTTTCATTTGCAGTTGTAATGCAATGAAGTTTCGCATAAAGAACAAACTTACCGTTGTGAACATTATTGCTCTTCTCACTTTTCATTGTAACGTCACGCATTTAATCATAAAAAATGAAATTTTGAAAATTTGGTGCGAAAGCGGAAAAAAGCCAATTAGAATGTTGAATGGACAAGCCTTTATTAGTGAACTCCCCATTCTGTTAGAGTAATCTACATACTATTCATACTCCTCATCAAAAAATTTGCGGATTCCGCACCAGTCTCTCAACTCTGCCGGATATCAGAGAGTGAGTTCTTCCCCTAAAATGTCAAAAGGTAGAAGGCTTTGTTCTAGAATTTTCAACAAAACGTTCGGTTTTCTGTTTTGCAATTCATATTCAAAAATGCTAAAATCCTCTCTACCACATCGCTGCCTAGTAGTGGATAGCCTAATTATTCCTTATGTCCTGGGGCTGATCTAGGACTTTCTCGAGGGGGCGGGCGCCTTTTTTTTCAGTTCGAACAAATTAATTTTCCGAGCTCTCCTAAAGCACTAAAAAGACGCTTTTTTGGCTGTGGCCAATTTTTCTTGTGCCGCAGGCAAATTTTTGAAAAAAACCGTTTTTGGAAAATTTTGACGAAAATCGCGTTTTTTTTTGGCGCCCGCTCACCCTCAAAGTTAGTATATATTGGTGCCAAAGACGCCTTTAGAAAAACTTTAGGGTCAGTCGGCCAAAAATGGATTTCCTAAAAAGTACCAAAGGAGGATGCTCTTTTTCCTTACCCCCCGCCCCCCCCCCCCCCACCTGCAAATTTCTTAGAGTAAATTTTTTGTTCACATTTTCGGCTCATTCCAGTTCCCTCTTTCAAATACCGAGTTTTATGTTTGTTTTACGTTTTATTACGGCTAAATGCGTGATTTTACGCTGTAAAGTTAGAAGAACAAATCTGTTCACAGTTGTCGATTTGTTCACCACGCCAAAATTCATTGCATTATGACAACGTTAAATAAGCTTTTCAAAATTGAATTTGAAAGGAGGGGGGAAACTGGAAAAGAGCCACATTTTCGGATTGTTATAAAATTCGGCATACGGACTAGTTAGACTATGACAATCATATTTGGTCTTAATATTCAACCTTGTAAGACCACTCGTTACACCATGAAATCGATGCTTCTGTGAGGTGGAGGAAAAAGGAAAAAGTGCCAGGGGACCCTTTGGGTTGGCAGAGGGTCGAATCCCTAAAAAAACGTCCGCCCCCCTGCCCCCCCCCCCCCTAAATCCGCCCCTGCTTATTTCATTTTATTTTGATTGGATTTTTTGAGTCACGTTTTTAAAGTAAGAAATATCGGGGAATTTTAAACAGTGATTTTTTCTTCAAAGAGCTGAACAGCTTGTATTTTGGTCCTTTCTCTCCTTTACAAATCGTCGTAACACTTAACCTATCTCAACTCAACTTGACTTGTCTAATTTTTTGTTCTAGGCGGGTAAATTGCGACTTAAGATTTTAAAAAGTCATTATGTCAATGTTCATATGCAAAAATTCACCAGTAAATAATCCGCATCAAGAGAAAAATTATTTCATGTCATCAACTTTGAAATAATTATGACATTCAGTTATTGCAAATTTCTAGTGGTGCATGCAATGATGTTTTTTCGAGCATCAGCAGTTGGCTCTAACAGCACTTCAAATGGAACTGGCTTTGAAAAGTGCCCTGAGTATTCAGCAATGGATAACTTCAAACTGGGTTTGTTTGTAGGGATCAAATGGCACCAGATAGCTGCGTACCCTAGTCCTCATACTATTGGCTGTTCATGCCTTGTGAATGAGTATACAGAGCAAAGCTCCAACGAGACAGGTAAATTGTTGATATTCATGCAAACGTTTCGCCTAATTGAGTTTTGAATTGAATGTAATGCACATAAGTTTCGGACGTCATACATATGGTGTCATTGTTTAAATTACAAGCGTCAGGTTTTGAAAGTCGATATTAGTGACACTTACCAGGTAGAAGCACCAATTGATTTTTTGGCCTTGATACTATATTACGTCTCCCAGAGTTCATCATGACGTTTATGATAAATTATATAGATTATTTGGTCTCCTGATAAACTAACGGCTCAGCTTTTTTCTACCAACTTTTACAAATAAAATGTACGTTTGTTTTCTCCCATTGTTATGGAAATTGACATGCGGACTAATTAAGCAATGACAAACACAGAGCTGATTTAAACTATCCAATCAGAACGCGTAAAATCCGTAAATTAAAATGCGTTTTTCTCAAATTGGCTCGAGTTTTGGTGAAAAGTGATGAGGACCAGAATTTAAGCAGAATTAAAAATTTGGCAATTTTCTAGGAGAAATTTGGGCCCAAAATTTTGCCCCTAAAAATTTAGCCCAAAAAACACTGAGAAAATGACATCAAAGTGAGCCTCTTCCGTAGTAAAATCAAGTATTGAGGGATAGAACCTCCAAACAATGGGTGTTTTATTTAGCAAAATTGACATGCTTTGTCTATCAAACTAAAATAAATAAATTTATACAGTTTTTTGGAGGTTATCCTTCTTAAAATTTGTTGGGAGACGCAAGCTTTGAAAAAAATTTCTCTGCAATTGATTCGGTAGTTTTGGCGTAATTTTTGGTTAACTAAAAGTCTAATTTGAAGTACATACGAGGCCAAACTGTGAGCTGGATGGGCGCACAATTCTGTTCCTGTATGTTCCTGGATTCCAAGAACAAGTCTTTGAACATGTTAAATTTTGTCGGAATGATCAAAGCAAATGAAAGAACAAATGGAGCGTCCTTTTTGCGGAAGCACTGACAATCCAAAAAAAGAACAGTTTGGCCTTCTAATATTTCCAGTTTCCCGCCTTCAAATTCAGTTTTGAAAAATCTATTTAACGTTGTCACAATGCAATGAAATTTGGCGTGGTGAACAAATCAAGAATTCTGAACAGATTTGTTCTCCATACTTTACAGTGTAACATCACGCATTTAGCCGTAATAACACGGAAAACAAATATAAAACTCGGTATTTTGAAAGGAGGAAACTGGAAAAGAGCCCATAATAACTGTGTTAAATTTCTGAGCACGTTTAGTTTTCACCACTTCACCTAAACTCAACCCAATTTGAGAAAAATGCGTTTTGAACTTCAAATTTATTGCATTGTGACCGGATTTAAATCAGCATTGTATGTTTAGTCATACTTTTTTTTTGTAAAAACAGTCATTAAACCTTAAAACTGATGGGCTTTTTTTCCTTCCCCCCCCCCACCTGCAAATTTTTACATTTGAAGTTACTGTTCACATTGTTCGATTGTCATGGCAATTGACATGTAAACTAATTACGCCATGACAATCATATTTGGTCTTCATAATTAACCTTCTATAACCACTCGTTAGACCATAAAAAAAGTGTTTGAGTGAGGTGAGGGGGGGAAGGAAAAAGAGCCAACTGATGATGCTCATGCAAGGAGGGACTAGGAGAAATAACTAACGACTCGTTTTCATTCTCCTCCCCCACATGTCAAAATTTCTATTTTCATAGTTGTTCTGTTCACAATAGTTAGTTTGTTCACCATGCCAATGTTCATTGAATTATGACGATGGTGAAAAAATGCGGACAAATTGGATAAAGCTCGATTTAAATTGACTTTTTTGTTACTGAAAATTGTACGGGCTCTTTTCCAGCTTCGGCTCTTTTCCAGTTCCCCCCTTTCAAAATACCGAGTTTAATGTTTGTTTCACGTAAAGTATGAAGAACAAATCTGTTCAAAATTGTCGATTTGTTCACCACACAAAACTTCATTGCATTATGACAACGTTAAATAGACTTTTCAGTATTAAATTTGAAGGGGGGAAGTGGAAAAGAGCCCCAGCTTCTTCCCTTTCAGTATACCGAGTTCTTTGTTTGTTTTGCGTGTTATTACGGCTAAATGCCTGATGTTACGCTGTAAAGTATGATTACAGTTTTCGATTTGTTCACCACGCCAAATTTCATTGCATTTTGACAACATTAAATAAGCTTTTCAAAGTTGAACTTGAAAGGGGGGACTGGAAAAGAGCCACTGTATGAAATTGAAACCAAAAAATGTTACCAAAAATGAACTTTGATTAAAGTAGATTTTTCAGCTACTCTTTTTCATCAGATTGCTTCAATTTTAAATCGTTTCATATCAATTTTTGGTTCTTTTCTACCCCTCAAATTTCAATCTTTGGCTGTTATTTTACCAAGCAAAATTTTTCCCACCATATGTCATTTTTAAGAGTCGATGGAAGTATTGGTCGTGATGTTTTTTTGTTTTTTTTTTAAAAGAAAATTCTTTAAATTTGTTCTGGCTGAAAATTACTTTTCATTTCTTTGAGTTCATTTTCTTTGTTAAAGGCAACACCACTACCGAACAGCGAAAGTCACGAAAAACTTGATCGACTCCTTGTTTCGAAAATGAAATTTAGGCTCTTTTCCAGTTCCCCCCCTTTCAAAATCAATTTTGAAAAGCTTATATAACATTGTCATATGAAATTTGGCGTGGTGAACAAATCGACAATTGTGAACAAATTTGTTCTTCATACGGTACAGCGTAACATCACACATTTAGCCGTAATAACACGTAAAACAAACATAAAACTCGGTATTTTGAAAGGGGGGAACTGGAAAAGAGCCGAAATTTATTTATCGAATTTTCAGCGAAATAAAATTTTTAAATATGGATCCAGTTTTCTCAAGTTAGGTTAATTCAATCAAAAAAGGGCACTTTTCCAGTTTCCCACCCCTCCCCCTCGTAAAATTTTAAATTAAAGCTGTTCAAAAAATGCTCACACGGCATTTTGTATGTAAGATAGGTTGAAAATTGACAGTAGGGAAATTTGTTCACCTGTTCTCTCTGACACGTTTCGGCTCTTTTTCCTTCCCCCCCCCCCTCCTCACACGAGCTTCAATATATATGTGTAACTAGTGGTCTTACGAGGTTGAGTATGAAAACTAAATATTTTTGTCGTGGCCTTATTTGTCCGTATGTAAGTTTTCAATACAATCAGACGATGTGGTCAAAAAATTTACAGGTAAAAATTTGCAGGTGGGGGAAAACGAAAAAGAGCCCACGTTTCAATGCATTTTATGGATCTTTTCCAGTTCTCGCTTTCAAAATACCGAGTTTTATGTTTGTTTTACGAGTTATTACGGTTAAATGCGTAATGTTACGCTGCAAAGTATGAAGAAGAAATCTGTTTAGAATTTGTCGATTTGTTCACCACGCTTAATTTCATTGCATTGCGACAAAAAGCGAACAGTAACTTCGGCTCTTTTTCCTTCCCCCCCCCCCCCACCTCACTCAAACATGATTTTTATGATCTAACGAGTTGTTTCACAATGTTATTTATGAAGACCAAATATGTTTATCATGGCCTAATTAGTCTGCATGGCAATTTTCATGACAATCGGACAAATTGAACAGTAACTTCAAATAAAAAAAATTTGCAGGTGGGGGGAAAAGGAAAAAGAGCCGTAACTTCAAATATAAAAATTTGCAGGTGGGGGGGGGGGGGGTGAAGGAAAAAGAGCCGATTTTTTTCCAACTGTCTGTTGGCTATTTTTATAAACATCACTTTGACGTAAATACCAGCTTTTTCGAACGATAAAGGTTAGAATTTAAAAAAATAGCATTTGATGGGTGGGGCATGTGATGTGATGTGCCTTCTAGCCTACATATGAACAAGTTGACACAAGCAACAAATTACAAGCAATATTGGCTCTTTTTCCTTTTCCCCCCCACCAGCGAAGTTTTAATAGTAAAATTTTGTTCACAACACCGGATTGTTACGAAAATTGGTATGCGGACTAATTAGGCTATGACAAACATATTTGGTCTTCATGCTTAACCTTGTAAAACCACTCGTTACAACATAAAATTGATGTATATGTGAGGTGGGGGGGGGGGGGGGAAGGAAAAAGAGCCGCAATATTTTGCACGTGAGGGTAAAAAACGTCCGAACTTAACCTCACGAAAACCTTGGATCCAGCTCAGGGCTCTCTTTCCTTCCCCCCGACACCTCCCACGACCATCAATTTTATGGTGTAACGAGTGGTTTTACAAGGTTAAAAATGAAGACCAAATCTGTTTGGCACATCCTAGTTAGTCCGCATGTCAATTTTCATAATGATTGGACTTGGTGAACAGTAACTTTACAAGTAAAAAATTGCAGGTGGGGGGAAAAGGAAAATGAGCCCAGCTCAGCTTCGAAATAAATTGTTCCAACATTTCAGGCACTTACTTGTCAGTGAAAATGACCTACATGAAACACAATCGCAGCCAAGAGGCTTCCCTCCCTGCCCTTTACCCGTCCGAGGAGACTAAAGCTCAGTTCATTTATGCGCCAGAGGACAATAACAACCAGTCCAATGTGTTCTACCTGGACATAGACTACGAGGAGTATGCTCTGTCTTACAGCTGCGAGGATACTGGAACCTGATCTAAACTACATTTTATGATTGGATAAATTAAATGTTTTACCAATGTAAAGTATTTAATATTAACCAATCATGATCCATCTAACTAACAACCCACTTATTTGTAAGTGCTGAAGTTACTTGTAATTTCAGCACCAGAGAGATTTGAATTTAACTTAGAAATTAGTTGGACTCTCCCGAGCACTTCAGCAGCCGCAATAAACCAGTATACCCTAGATCTATTGAGCCTAGCAGAGACTAGTTAAACAACCTGAGACTAGATAGTATAAGAGTAAGATTAGGATCGGTATTAGACTAAGAAGTTGCACGAATCTATCCGGCCGAAAATAAGATAGCGTGACGAGCAGACGGTGTACCCTATCCGAAATTACTCTATGAGTTAACCACATCGGTCCTAACTCATCTGGTGCGACCAGTGACGAAACCATCAAGCAAATAGCAGTACGAATCGAAACACTAGTTCGAAAAGCATATTCATTAAATACACATGACTATAAAAACACAAAGATGACAGAAATCTTAATGATGACCTTAACACCACAATTAAGGAAAATAGCAATAAAAAAGAGAGCATCCCATCCTTCTTCAATTCGAGAACCCGATTTAGATTTTCGAAAACTAGTAGACAAATTAGAACAAGCAGAAATCACGATAAAACTAGAAGAAACGGAAAATCTGAAATTACAATACGTTAATAGAATTGAAACGACTCCCACTAATATTAATAATATACAGGAATCAGAGACAGACCTCGTTGAAAAAATCACTGAAATACTCAATATTTATGAAAAGAACCCAAACTTTAAAGGCAAACCATCTTTCAAAAAATGGTGTAATTATTGCCGACGATACGGACATAGTATTTCCGAATGTAGACAAAAACAGCAAGACAATCAAAATAAACCTCAAAAATATAAAGAACCAAATAAATCATTCTATCAATACATGAAAAAAGATCAAAATCTACCGAACAAAACAGTCTACAGCAACAACAGTTCAGGAAAACCACTCCCGAACAATACAAATTATACAAGAAATCAATCACCATATAACTCAAGTTATAGAGGAAGATCACCAGAACGAAGAAACACGCATAATTCATCACAAAATCACTACAATAGACCAAATAGTCGAAATAACTACTCCAGATCACATTCAAATACACAACGATTTGTTTCTAGATCTAATTCCCAATCAAGAAATAACTACTATCCAAACAACCAATCACGAAATTCATCATACAATAGGAATAGAAACTACTCCTATAATCGAAATAGAAGTTATTCAAACAACCGAAACCAGAATTACCCGAACAATCAATCAAGGAATAACTCATATAATAGATCGAACTATAACAGACCAAACAATAATTACCAAAACAGATCGCGAAATAATTCACAAAATCGACACTCAAGTTATAATAATCGTTATAGAAATTATTCCCAATCACCACACCGGAATAATAATAACTATAATAATTCTAATAATCGCCACAGAAGTAGTACACCTAAACATCAAAGACAAATCAATCAAGTACAGTCAAATCCAGAAACAACATCAGACCCTCCAGGTATTGATGACACAGTAACTGATACGTTACACCTCAATCAAATAAACTGTACATCATCAGATTCAGAAAGTGATACTGAAAACACTCTTTCTATCAATATGATAAAAGTCGAAAATGACTATGAATCTGTCATATATGAACAACCCTTTCCATCACACATATATGAAAATCAATCAGAATTTCTTCAAAATTATTACACTACACCCATAAATTCCACACCAACGACGCAAGAAACAAACGAGATTAACACTACAGATCAAACCAATAAAAATACCAAAACAAAATGCTTGAATACAAACCACATTTATCAAAATATACAAAAAGAACAACCCAAAGAAAAAATTTGGACAATACCATTTCTCTTAGAAAGCCCAAGAAATAAAGAATTTCAACCACCAGACCTTGAAATAGATTTTTTAATTGATTCAGGAGCAGAATCAAACATAATAAACATCCCCACATGGAATGAAATAAAAACTTTACACCCAAAGCTAACACCTCTTGAAACCTCCAGTAAGTTAGCAACAGCACAAGGATCAACATTGATAAACTACGGAAAAATCCAATTATTTCTCCTCCCCACCAGAACAATGGAGCAAAGCAAAATTTTAAATAAGCCATTTAAACAAATATTCCATATCACTGACATTAAATATAATATCATTGGAATACCATTTATTTCGAAGTATATACCAACAATTAACATACTAAATAGTAAAATATTAATCAAAGATAAAAATACAAAAACAAAAGAAACATCCTTAACATTTTTTCAAAGATTAAATAAACAACCACCATTCTTTTCAAAATTCTACCCGATATTTAACCAACAAAGGAAACACCTAAAACCACTATCAGGAAATATCTATAATTTTTCAATCAAACAAGTTCACCAATATGATAAAGAACAAAACAAACAAAAATTTTATATGTCAGAATTTGAATTCAAACCTATTCACAAATTTTTCAAAATCACAATCTCATCCATAAAATATTTGAAAAATTCGAATTCCGATATCATTTCCTTACATGTCTATAACAACACACCTTACCAAGTAACATTACCTTTAGGACTTTTAGGATATTGTGAAACCAACGCTACAATATCACCAATACACGAAAAAGCCTATCGCGTAAATAATATACTCCAATTACTAGATATTTGCCAATCTACAATTCTTAATGAAGAATTATCTATAAATAATATAATAAGTAACGAAAACAGAAATACGGATTATTTCACAAAAACTCCATATTTCAAACCTACATTCAACATAAGTAACTACACAGAGGACCAACAAAAATTTTTAACAATGTTTAATTTCCAACATTCACAAATAACACAAGACGAATTCGAAAAGTTAGCCAAACAGCTAATTGAATATTCATCAGTCTATGCAACATCAAAATTCGATGTTGGAAAAATCAGTTCATCACTACATCTCCCGTTAAAACCAGACGCAGTTTTCAAAAAACAGAGAGCAAGTAAAGTACCAATTCACTTACATGATAAAGTAAACAGATTACTCGATATTTTAGAACAATACAACATTATATCACCAGTTAATAAAGAAGAACAACCAAAAGGGAACAAATTTATCAACCCCGTTATCATTCTAGCTAAAGGAGAATCATTAAAAATCGTTCTCGATGCTAGATACCTCAATTCACTTATAGATGAATCAAAATGTAATTGGCCCATTGAACCAATACAAGTTATTTTAACAAAAATAAACGGCAAATACTTTACAACCGCCGATATGAATAGTGCATACAATCAAATGCCACTAGATGAACAATCACGACGTTTAACACAATTTGTTATCGGAAACCAACAATATGAATTCAACCGCTTATTCTATGGAATATCCATAGGACCAGCAGCATTTTCAGCTTTTATGAGCAAAATTTTTAGACCACTGATACTCAAGAAAAACGCAATCACCTATTTAGACGATGTTTTTATGCAATCACAAACAAAAGACGAGATGTTCAATGTTTTAGAAAAATATCACCAAATACTTCAGAACGAAAATCTGAAGGCCGCCCCCGATAAATCACACTTCTTTTTGACAAGAGTTAAATTCTTAGGACATAATATAGAAAGAAAAACAATCACTCCATTGAAATCACGCATTGACGCTATTCAAAAACTTCAACCACCAACAAATAAAAAGAAAATCCAAGAATTTCTTGGAATGTTAAACTTTTTAAGTAAATATGTTTATAAAATGCAATTATATCTACGACCATTTTATAACATCCTTAGACAACAAAATAATTTTGAATGGAACACAGAACATCAAACACGATTTGAAGAAATAAAGAAACTTTTAACTGAACAAATTTCAAACACAATTCCAGATTCAAATCAACCATTTTATGCAATGTGCGATGCTTCGAACTTTGGCATCGGTGCAGCACTATTACAATCACATAATGGTACAAATAAAATGAACCTCATATCAGCAAATTCTCGATTATTCACTCAAGCAGAGCTACGACTCTCAACTCTAATGAGAGAATGTACAGCCATAATATATACACTGACAGAATATGAATTTCTGATACTTGGATCAAAACATCCAACAGTTCTATTCACAGACCATAAACCAATCATCTTTCTCTTTACACAAAAATCTAACCCAAACCACCGAGTTTACAGATTTCAACTAATTCTAATGAAATTTCCAAACTTACATATAGTTTGGACTGCAGGAAAAAATCTTGCATTACCAGACACCTTAAGTCGAAATACACCACCTGAATTACTTACACGAAAAACAACAGTTGAAATACCCAAAAACATAAAATTCTACCTTGCAGAAAACGAAACATCACCCCGATTGGAATGCAAATATGCAGTAAAAACTGATATTGAACAATCACAAATAAATAATTTACAACATTTCCCACTTTATTTAGATTGTCAAAATAATCATTATGAAGTTGATTTACTTGGAACATCAACTTTCAAACCAATCCCATATTCTCAATGGATAAAAAATAACACCCAACAAAAACGAACAAAACAACACCCGCTTAAGAAAGACCATTTTCCACTAATTGAAAAAGAAGATTTAACTGATAAAATAAATTTATCAGGACCACAAACAAATGATTCAAAATACACAATAAATCAAGTTTTTGACCTTCACGACCCACTTGATACAATACCCTTATCTAAATTAGAAATCGAAAACATTTTTCTCCCCCCAACAGAAATAATTACAATTTCAACACTGAAACAATATTAAAACCTTGACCCAGTAATTCGACAACTGAAATCATGGCACAAATATAAAACTAAACCTATCAAAGCAGATTCAACCATTCTAGGAAACAAAACACTCCTCCGATACTTTCGCAAATTTAACAACACAACAATTAACGAAAATACAGACCTTTTAGAGTATAA